GAAGGGAGAGGAAGAGATAAAAACCTCAATGATGAGAGAGAATCATGGATCGGCTGCCTCCTGCACGCCCCCTGCTGGGGATCGAGCCTGCAACCTAGGCATGTGCCCTGTTGGGAATCAAACCATGACTCCCTGGTTCATAGGTCGACGCTCAACCACTGAGCCACGCCTGATTTCACTTTATAGAAGAACATTACTTTTTTCTTTCCCAGCTCACTTTGCATAGGTACCCCCGGCACACATGCACGCGGACACACACGCACACACACACACGCACACACACGCCATCTAAAAGACAGCTGGAGCCACGGGAGCCCACGCCAGCCAGGCCCTCCTCGCACCTCTCGGCCGAGCAGCGGCTCCCATTCAATAGCTGCTAACAAGGCTCTGGCCCCGGCCTCTCTGGAGTTTGCCTTTCCTGCAGGATCATCAAGGTTGCCTGGCAACCACCAGCAGGTCGGCCTGTCACTCGGTTTCCTTCAAGAAAATGGCGAAGCGCCGTTCCTGTCCCCAGCCAGGCGAGGCCTAATTAGTGTGAACCGGGAATCAATCACGGGGGTGGAGGAGCGGGGGTGCGGGGTGGCGGCTGCTCCGGGGCCCGTGTGCAGATCACTGTCATTGCTTCCTTTTACCCCTTCCCGCCTGCAGGAAGGGCCCTGGGCAGGGCGAAGCCAGGACTGAACTTTCCAGGCTCCTGTCGGAGCCACTGTTGAAGGGACAGGGGATTGTTTGCCCGGAGAAGGCCCCCTTTGAGGATAGAGACATGGCTGTCTTTGTTTATTGATTATTATTTTAAAAAACACATTTTTATTGATGTCAGAGAGGAAGGGAGAGGGAGAGAGAGAGAGATAGAAACATCAATGATGAGAGGGAATCATGGGTCAGCTACCTCCTGCACGCCGCGTACCGGGGATGGAGCCCACAACCCCGGCATGCGCCCCGACCGGGAATGGAACTGTGACCTCCTGGTTCATAGGTCGACGCTCAACCACTGAGCCACACCGGCCGGACACATGTCTGTCTTTAAATATTTGGAGGCTGGGAAATGCAGAGGAGGGTTTGGGCCGGTTCTGGCGGGCAGCACCACCTCCCGCCGCCCCCACTGTGTTTTCCTTCACACGCCACTGGAACAGTTAAATACATATATTCATGGGTCACCTGCCGCTCCACAGGGGCTAACAGGATTTGCTGACGAAGGTGTTGTGCTGTCTCCCCAAATGCTATGGTTTCCAGAGCCCCGGAGAGGGGGAGGGGTGGGGGGCTGATTGCCCAGCAGATTAGCTCCTGGAGCTCAGCATTTGGAATGATTGATGGTCCCCGGGCCGCTGACAGGAGAGAGGGCAGTCGTCGAAACCCTCCCTGTGCCAGCCCCAACAACCCCGCTCTCTTATCTCAGTGAATTTAGAGTCCCAGGAGCCTTAGAGAGGCCCCACCCCCGTCATTTTAGAGGCCATCTCTTCACAAAGTCGCCTTTGAACACACGTAGGGAAATCTACCCTACAGCCCTTGGTACTTGGGGAGGCGGGGTGGGGTGTCATGTTTGCTGGCCAGTATCAGCGACCCCTACAGCCCACTGGCTCCCGGGCGGTGGGCACGGAGGCCTGGGTGGCCCCGTCCAGAGGACAAAGTGCCAGATGGCGGGGCAGGTGTTCCAGCGACCGAACCACCTTATCAGATGCCCGGGGGGCCCAGCCCCCGGCGGACAGTCCTGTTTTGTGAAGCTGGCAGGGCGAGGCATCCCCCCTCCTCTCTGCCCACCTCCCGGCTCTTCAGCCTGCCCCGTGTGGGTCAGAGAGACATCCCAGGTGCTTAGCTGCTGACTGTCCCCGTCCCCCAAAAGTGGAGGGTGGAGGGGAGCGGAGGAAGGGAGGCCCTGTCCCCCGCCTCCGATGGCCCTCCGGCTCCTCCCTGGCCCCCGGGTGCCCGTGGCCTAAGGTAGACAGGACGGCGAACCCAGCTTAGCCACCCGTTAGCGTCCTGCCCTCTGAGCAGGTCCCAGGCGGGGACGGGTTGGGCGGAGGCCTGTGCCTTGTGGGGGCCAGGCCACCCCAGCTCCTCCAGCACCCCCCCATTGCAGGGCAGTGTGGGGACGGGGCCCGGAGGGACTGTTTGTTCAGTCCCCGAGACAGAGGGCGATTGCCGGCGCTGGCGGGGGGACCCGGCCCCCCTCACCTGAGCGCCTCCCTGGTTTGATCGAATCTCGGTGTCTCACAATTACCTCTAATTTCATTGCTTTTATGGGAAGAAGAGTGCTTGTCCCCGCAGCGAAGATTCTTCATGTTCCCTGGGCTTTGGCTCCTCGGCCTGCAACCTCTTCCTTCTATTTCCAGCCGTTCTCCTCCTTCCTGCCCCTGAGAGTGGAAGGTGGACCAGTGGGGCCCCGAGGTGCCCGGGGACCCCTGGCTCACGGGACGTGCTCCACAGGAGGGACGATGCTGGGGTGTTCCCTGCCTCTCCGTCCTCCCGCCCCTCCTACCCCACATCCCAGGCACATCTAGAAAGAGGAGAGCACCAGACACCAGGTTGGACTCATTCATTCATTCATTCAGCAAATACATATTAGGCAGCCTCTAATATGTGCTAGGCAACAATCAAAAACGACTTGTTTTGTGCAGCGTGCAACCTCTTCCTTCTATTTCCAGCCGTTCTCCTCCTTCCTGCCCCTGAGAGTGGAAGGTGGACCAGCGGGGCCCCGAGGTGCCCGGGGACCCCTGGCTCACGGGACGTGCTCCACAGGAGGGACGATGCTGGGGTGTTCCCTGCCTCTCCGTCCTCCCGCCCCTCCTACCCCACATCCCAGGCACATCTAGAAAGAGGAGAGCACCAGACACCAGGTTGGACTCATTCATTCATTCATTCAGCAAATACATATTAGGCAGCCTCTAATATGTGCTAGGCAACAATCAAAAACGACTTGTTTTGTGCAGCTGCCTTGGCTCAGTGCTTGAGCATTGATCCAATCCAAGAGGTCATGGATTGATTCCCAGTCAGGGCACATGCCCGGGGTTGTGGGCTCGATCCCCAGCAGGGGGCGTGCAGGAGGCAGCCAATCGATGTCTTATTGATATTTCTATCTCTCTGTCCCTCTCCCTTCCTCTCTCTCTAAATTCAATAAAAAAATATTTCAAAACATTATTTATTTTTTTTTTAAAGAAATACGTGGATCTGGGCAGGGAGCATTTAGCCAAGAGCATGGAGGGAAGGCAGACAGTTGATACGAGTTTGGGTTTGACATCTGAAGACTGAAGAACTGCAAGCAGAAACCGGCCGTTTCCTGCAAGTAGCTTATGATGATGAAGTGAGTCTTGTAAAGCAAATAGAGGATTTATCAAGTGGAACCGAGCCTCAGTTTCTGCATCTGTAAAATGGGGATAATAATACCTAACTCACAGCGGCAGCGCGGGGAGTAACTGAGAGGATGCAGGTGAAATAATTGGCACAGGGTCTGGCATACCGTACGTATGTACCCGGTGGTGCAGCTGTTTGGATTGAAGGATTGGTGGTGGCGGTGGCCGCGGTGGTGATGGGGGTGGTGATGGGGTGGGGTGGTGTAATACTTAGGGGAAGACATGTCTGCCAGCGCGTAGAGGTGAAGAGCTCTCTGCTAGCCTCTTCTTGAGAGGGAGACAGAACAAGAGCCTCTCATGCCGTGATCCCCCGCCCCGCCCCTCGTGGCTAATGCAGATCACGGGCAGAGTGGTTAAAAGCCCAGGCAGACGAGCCGCAGGAGGACTGGAGTGAGTGGCGAGAAAGCTCTCAAGTCCTTCAGCTCCCTGCCTGTCCCCCATCGTCGCACTCACTTGGGGACTCCTGAGAGGGACAAAGGAGGAGGGGCGGGGGGGTGTGCAGTGGCAGTTGGGCACGCAGTGTTCTTCCCAGGGTGAGAGGACATTGGGAGGGAATTAGATGCGGGAACATCTGAGAGAGGCAGGCTGAGGAGCCGGGGAAACACAAGGGAACGTCTGGTGTGCTTGAAGGTGACCCCACCACCGAGGCTCCGCCCTGTGCGTACAAAAGACTGTTGTCAGCATCCAGCAAATCCTTCTGGAGCGCCCGCGTGCCTGGCACAGTGTCAACCCTCGGGGATCAGGAGTTTGCAGTACAGAAATGGTCCCTGTCTTTGCGGCGCTGACTTCAGGCGTAGGCCAATCCAAGTATTCGATGAGCAAAAGCATTCACAGTTACTTAGGTTCCTCCAGCTAACGAAACAGTGCATTTAATCAAAAGGTGAAAAATTTTTATTTTTTTTAGAAAGAAGAGAGAGAGAGAGAGAGAGAGAGATGTGAGAGAGACACATCAATTGGTTGCCTCCAGCACATGCTCCGACCATGGCCAGGGGTCAAACCTGCAACCCAGGAATGTGCCCTTGAGCGGGAATCAGACCCGAGACCCTTTGGTGCGTGGGCCGTCCTAACCACTTAGCCACACTGGCGTTTATATCTGTTTTTTGCAAAGGTGCCCAGCAGGCGCGGAGACATGGCCATAGGTGCCCTGCTAGGAGCTCTGGGTGAATTTTTTCCTTGGCCATCACTGGGCCTCTTTGGCCTCTACCCGCCTCCGGACACCAGGGTGCGCTGCAGCGCTTCCCAGGCCCGGCTGGACGGCGCGCTATCCCCACGTGGCTTCTCGCTACCCCGCACTTCCGGTGGATACCGGAAGCGGGGGCCTGAAGTCGCGGAGCCGGGTCCCGAAGCATGGCGGGGGCGGGGCCGGGGGGGGTGCGCGCAGAGCCGGCCGGGGGTCCCTAACCCCGGCCCTCTGAGCCGGGACCCACAGGTGAGGACCTCTCCTTCCCCAGCCCGGCCTCCCAGCCCGT